TTTTTACAGTTTTAAAGAAGTTGTTATCCATAAAATTGGGTCTACCTCTTATAGATCAGATAGTTAAACTTTGCTGGCGACAGTGCCGATAGCCGTACTTACATTATCGTACATGCGGTATGTAGTTATCATGTATTGGTCACATGTTGGCGACTGCTGAGGTCTGTTGAATGAAGTTCACGTGAAAGGTGCATCACGTGACAATCGGAGAGATTCCCACTGAGCATGCGTAGAACAAGCAACTGTGCACTCGGTGAAGACCGAGAACTTAGACGCTAAGATACACTTGAAAACCTCCCCGAAAGTTGCTGTCTCGATGGATCCGTGGCAGCTTCTCGCCAGACCGGCCACAACTAGGATCACCAGGTCTACTAAATGAGAGTGTGGTTTAGGTTTAACAGTATTCCTGTTACATCAACGTGTGTCAGCTTAATGTGGAAGTAAATGATGAAGGACAAAAGAAAGCTCAACATCACAGGGACGACATTCTCATTGGTCGATGAGAAGGGACGTTAATCTGATTGACTGAGGAAAGAGCGCGTCGGTGGGAGTTAAAAACAGGACACCAGCGGCAGCCCTGTTTATGTAATATTTCAAGCAATGGTACTATACATGTAGCTGGGAAAGACCCTCGCCATAACCATGACTAAGTATTCCTACTCCGTCACCCGGAGCTGTGTACACAGAGTATAGCTTCAGTACACAGAATCTGAAACCAGCTCGCATAGCTAAACTGTCTAGTTAGGTAAGGCTGAACTGAACTGAACTTTATTTACACTCAGACCGCTGTCAGCGGCATCAGAGGTACAAATTTATTTCAACAACATAATACATATACATATAAATATAGAATATATACAAAAACATCAGCCGAGCATGCATGCATATTTATACAGATTCACCAGGGTAGCAATATATGTGCAATCAAATAAGAGGGAGATTAACTTGATTTACAATGACATGATGACTTTACAGAATTTGGACAGTTTTCTCAATGTTCCTAATCGTGAATTATTGAAAAGTTAATTTTATTTTATGCATATTGTGTTTGATGTAGTAGAATCTGTGTAAAAAATGTTTTCTTTCGTTTTCTAAAGATGGACAAATAATGGAATTCATCACCTAAGTCAGATAATTTACAAAGTGGGCATTTCCTGTCGGTTAAAGGTATTACTCCCCCTCCCAGTTTCAATAGGTAGATTATGGTAAATTCTAAACTTAAGTAAGACTCGCCAAATGTTTTCCTGCAGTACGTTTAATTAAGTAATTTTGCCCCAAAACTTATCATTCTCATTTTAGCGATGTTTGACAGATGGAGTCTTCCAAAGTTCCCCATATACCATGAAATTTGGAGTACATCTTCCCAATGATGAAAGATATTTTAGAAAACGCAAATGGGCACCTTCTAGGGCTGAGATGTTTTCAAATCCCCATACTTCGCGTCCGTAGAGAAGAACTGATACAACCATTCTGTCAAAAAGCCGCAGTTGACATTTAAGAGACAAATTTAACTTCCGTCCTCGGCATAAAACATAGAACATAGCTTTCTTTGCTTGTTCTATTAGCTTTTTCTTTGTGAAAGTGAATTTGGAATTTTTTAGAAAGATAACACCAAGGTAGTTATAGGAATCGATTTTTCTTCCAAAACATCATGATCAATTTTCAAATTTTGTTTATAGTCATGTTTTGATCAACCTAATATTAATATTTTTGTTTTGGTAGTAATAACCTTAAGCCTCCAATGTAGACAATAGTAATGAAATGAGTCTAACATATGATTTACATCATAGGCATTTGTGGTCAATAACACTGCATCATCTGCGTACAGTAATAGAAATATTGTGATAATATTTTCGATTCGATAATAGAATTCATCTGGTTTAAATTGAAACATGCATATAAATTCTGTACAAGTGCCGCTTCGAGGTCATTTAAAATATTGCAAACAAGACAGACGACAGGTTTTCTCCTTGTCTTACTCCAAATTTTCATCAAAAGAAACTTGTTAAATTACCATTACAGGAAACACATGATTTGATATTCTAGTACATATTATAGATAACGTTAAAACACTCTCCAGATACGTTATTTTGTAATAGTTTTTGCCAAAGTCCTGATCGACAAACTGTATCAAATGCTTTTTGAAAATCTATAAACGCACAAAATAATTTCTTTTTCTCGCTATTAATAATTCCATGAGATTATATAGAGCAAAAATGTGATCACTGGTGGAAAAACCCTTTCTGAAACCTGCCTGAGCTTCCGACAGTATAGAGTTCGTTTCGATGAATGTTTGCAAACGGTTATTTAAAACTGCTGTGAAAAGTTTACCAAAACAGTTCAGCAGAGTGATAGGTCTGTAATTTTCGGTGATTTGTGGTTCACCTTTACCCTTAAAAATGTGTTTAATAACACCTACAAACCATTTTTCTGGGATGGTACCAGTATCAAGAACTATGTTAAATATACTACTCAAAACAGGTTAAGGACCACCCAATTCTTCATAGTACTATAGTTAATCTGTGATGACATAACAGATTAACAATAGTAATATAAAAGAATTGGGTGGTCCTTAACTTTTTTTAAGTAGTATAGTATATTCATTCATTATATTATCAAGACCAGCAGCTTTGTTATTTTTTAAATTCTGCACACAGTTTATACTTTTACCTCTTGTTATAGCTGCATTAAGTATTGTGCTTTCTTCCATGTTTACTTCACGTAGATCACCAATATCAAAGTCGTCATGTGCCGAAACTGCTTTTAAAGATTCAAAAAAGCTGAATAATGACAATCTGGTAGGTTTTCATCGCCAGACTGCTTAAGAAGTTTCCAAAATGAACGGGGGTCATTTCTTTCGACATTATATAATTTGTCTTGAAGGTTTTTTTATGCATTTTTGAAAATTTGTGAATGCAGTTTTTATAACTTTTACTTGCATTAACTAGTCGGGTTTTTTTATTTTGGAATGTTTGATTACTCTTAAAATATCTCTTGACTTCAAAGTATTTTCGACGGGAGATATAACATTGTTTTCTCAAACCTATTTTTAGAACGCTTGTGGGATGTTGAATTTCTCTTACTCTTTTTAACAAATCCGAACACTTTGCCAGCAGTTTGAAGAGGCACACCACTTATTTTGCTATTTACGTTTGTTATAACATCAATTGGATTTCAATAAACAGCACACAGTAGCTCAGATTCAATGGATTGTATAACCTCTTTCTGCATTTTCTTTCATAATTATTTGTAAAACAAACTTTGAACTAGTCTTCAGGAACACATGCTTGACGTAGGAGGCGGCTAACGGGATCGGGTGGTTGATGCATGCCATTGTATCCCAAGTGCGTAAATCGATGCTCAAAATGTCAATCACTGGACTGTCTGATATCAAATTCGACATCTGCAGGTAAGTAGATTATTCAATTATGAAAAGTAATTCATGAAAATGCATACAGAATGTGCAGTTAATCATGTTTGTAGGTTGCCTAGTTACATAAACACAACCCCAAGTGGAAAGACGGTAGTCGAGTGCACGAAACTAGTTACAACATGGATTCCTGGCAAAGCTTACTGAGGTCCAAAATGAATGGAGCCGAGTCAATCTAAGAAGTTGTTGGCGAGACGATAAATAGTAAATAATAATAAAACAACAGACAATCTGCAAGAACAGCGTCAACGAACAGAAGATTGACGATAGGTAAAAGACAACGAACAATACTAGGACGAGAACGGTTTCACGCCGCCTTCAGTAATATTCCAGAGTATCACTGAGTCTTGTTTTACGCCGCTTTTAGCAATATTCCAGCAATATCACGACGGGGGACACCAGAAATGGGCTTCTCATATTGTACCCATGTCGGGAATCGAACCCGGGTCTTCGGCGTGACGAGCGAACGCTTTAACCACTGGCCTACCCGACTACCCCTCCACTAGTGTCAAACAGGAGACGCTGAGAATAGGCTTCACAAGATGCGTGTTATGGGGAATCGAACCCAGGTTGCGAGCATGACGAACGATCACGGTTACTACTTGACTACCCATCCGAACAACAGAATAATTATGATATCACCGCCGTAAGACAGAGAGACGCGCAACAGACAAGCCACAAATTCGCTTGAACAAGTTCAATTATGAATTGACTTTCACTTTGTGTGAGATTATTGGAGTATGAACCTTCATAAAGTGCAGGCCAAACTGTATGAACGTTGGAGCTTTTGTCATATTTTTGCCTCAAAGGATATAGGCCTATACACAATTTTACCTAGAACGTGTGACTTCATATTTACACTGACAGCCATACAACTACCATCTGTTTCGCGGGGAAAAAATAGTTCCTCTAATAGAGAGGAGACATGAGCGCATGTATGCTTAACTTGTTCTTCAGAAACGTCTCGCACGACAGACAATTCAAATAATATCCTCATTAGATCAGAAAAAGTCTATTAAGAAGTACCTCAGTAAGTCAACACAATCACGGCGCGTCGTAATACACTTACATCAAGTACAAGACGTCAAAATGGCCGACACGATAAACGTGACGGGAGAGTTGTTAATGAATCTGTGGCGTTTATATGTTTAAGTCATCATTGATCAATTGGCCGATCACTGAAAGTTGATTAAAGATGTGTCAAATAGACACTAAAGTAAATTCATAGATTGCTGTAGACTGTCACTGTCAGCGTAGACACGGATCGAATCGATACTAAGATAGTGTGGATGTGCATTTCTTCGTTTTGTTCACTACACAGACCATATAATAGATATCTTTATCACGAATATTCTTTGCTACGACACATCCTAGTGAACAAAAGACCATATACAGTAAACTACGGTTATAACGAACGCGCTTATAACGAACTGACGGATATAACGAACTAACTTTTGAGTCCCGACTATTTGCTGTAGTTATGCTGTATATATGCTTATAACGAACTACGGTTATAACGAACTAAAAGTAGTAGTCCCTTTGAGTTCGTTTTAACCGTAGTTTACTGTAATAATCTTTTGTATGGTCTCTGCTTCACGAGGATGGGTCGTATCAAGGATATTCGTGAACGATCGTGCAGTCAAAGTCTCTGACGTTTCTCAATGTATACTAAAACGCAAGATTAAAGGGTCTAAATAATCAGAAACAATGCTTCTGTATGTATTCGTGTTTAGGAATTCCGAGGGGTTCCGCCAGGAATGTTGAACTAGTGCGTCTGTGTTTACATCATTTCAAGAATACAGTCTCGTGAAAAACGTCAAATTCTGTCGTTCAAACACGTATGAAAGTCAATTTGACGTTCATGTGACCGACCTCTCGTATAATGGAATAGCCATATATCGTGTAAACTTCAAATTAAAAATTACATCACTTTGAAAAACATCTCGACTTTGGTGAGTGAGTAAGTTGGTATGCCAGGTTGCCAGAAGGCCTCGTTTGGGATGTTCGAAAGATATCCTGATGTCTCACTGATTATCGGTCCGGTCGGGTTGCACTCTCCACACGCCGTGAACCACCACGCCCCCTGGTGGACAGCGGCGCAATTTTTCACGGGGTCGTCGTCGTTGTCGACGTCATAGGTGCTGAACTTCTTCCCCCTCATGGGTGTGAAGCAGTCGCCTAGGATGTAGGTGCCCGGGTGAGCCCAAGTGGATGTGAAATTTAGGACGTAGCCAGTCGATTCGTCGCCCACGGTTAAGTAATGGTAGCCGTGTTTACTGAAAGAGTGAGTGAGTTGGGTTTAACGCGGCTGTTGAAAACATCACGGTGGATTACCCGAAAGTGGTGCACGTATTTTACGTTTACCACTTTCAAGAAACCCGATGCTGAGAATCTCAAGATGATAATCAGGTTGAATCTGCGATTGTAACCCATGTGTATTGGATCCTGGAACGAGTAAGGAACGCAACTCTGCACAGCGAATGGCATCGCCTTAGTGGACCTGGCCACTCGTATGAGAATGACATTTGCAAATTATTTTAATAACAACTAAATAATATTTGGATTTCGGGTTTCAATTATGTCATATTTCTAGTGATCATTTATTAATAAACAAATCCGATTTGGGCTGAGAACGCACTCTTGTCCTTCACCAAGGTCGCATTCAATCTAATGAGAATATAGATATTCAACTGGAACGAACTCTATGGACAACATCATTATTGACGAATCTCTTCTTTATGTCCGTTATATCAATATTTAAGAAATAAACGAGTGGGAGTTATACAATAAAACACTGTAGGAAGAATTAAACATGACGGGCGCAGCCCTAAATGATGTGATATAGGTGTGAGAGTATTACCGTGTAGGATAGCGTCACTAGACTTACAAGTGGTGATGTGACATGGGTGTGAGAGTATTGCCATGTAGGATAGCGTCACTGGACATACAAGTGGTGATGTGACATAGGTGTGAGAGTATTACCGTGTAGGATAGCGTCACTGGGCATGCAAGTGGTGATGTGACATAGGTGTGAGAGTATTATCATGTAGGATAGCGTCACTGGACATGCAAGTGGTGATGTGACATAGGTGTGAGAGTATTACCGTGTAGGATAGCATCACTAGACTTACAAGTGGTGATGTGACATAGGTGTGAGAGTATTACCGTGTAGGATAGCGTCACTAGACTTACAAGTGGTGATGTGACATAGGTGTGAGAGTATTACCGTGTAGGATAGCATCACTAGACATACAAGTGGTGATGTGACATAGGTGTGAGAGTATTGCTATGTAGGATAGCGTCACTGGACATGCAAGTGGTGATGTGACATAGGTGTGAGAGTATTGCCATGTAGGATAGCGTCACTGGACATACAAGTGGTGATGTGACATAGGTGTGAGAGTATTATCGTGTAGGATAGCGTCACTGGACATGCAAGTAGTGATGTGACATAGGTGTTAGCGTCTTACCGTACAGGATTAGCGTCACTGGACATACAAGTAGTGATGTGACATAGGTGTTAGCGTCTTACCGTACAGGATTAGCGTCACTGGACATACAAGTGGTGATGTGACATAGGTGTTAGCGTCTTACCGTACAGGATTAGCGTCACTGGACATACAAGTAGTGATGTGACATAGGTGTTAGCGTCTTACCGTACAGGATTAGCGTCACTGGACATACAAGTGGTGATGTGACATAGGTGTTAGCGTCTTACCGTACAGGATAGCGTCACTGGACATGCAAGTAGTGATGTGACACAGATGTGAGAGTATTACCATGTAGGATAGCGTCACTGGACATGCAAGTGGTGATGTGACATAGGTGTGAGAGTATTACCATGTAGGATAGCGTCACTGGACATGCAAGTGGTGATGTGATATAGGTGTGAGAGTATTACCGTGTAGGATAGCATCACTAGACTTACAAGTGGTGATGTGACATAGGTGTGAGAGTATTACCATGTAGGATAGCGTCACTGGACATGCAAGTGGTGATGTGACATAGGTGTGAGAGTATTACCGTGTAGGATAGCGTCACTGGACATGCAAGTGGTGATGTGACATAGGTGTGAGAGTATTGCCATGTAGGATAGCGTCACTGGACATACAAGTGGTGATGTGACATAGGTGTGAGAGTATTGCCATGTAGGATAGTGTCACTGGACATTCAAGTGGTGATGTGACATAGGTGTGAGAGTATTATCGTGTAGGATAGCGTCACTGGACATACAAGTAGTGATGTGACATAGGTGTTAGCGTCTTACCGTACAGGATTAGCGTCACTGGACATACAAGTAGTGATGTGACATAGGTGTTAGCGTCTTACCGTACAGGATTAGCGTCACTGGACATACAAGTAGTGATGTGACATAGGTGTTAGCGTCTTACCGTACAGGATTAGCGTCACTGGACATACAAGTGGTGATGTGACATAGGTGTTAGCGTCTTACCGTACAGGATTAGCGTCACTGGACATACAAGTGGTGATGTGACATAGGTGTTAGCGTCTTACCGTACAGGATTAGCGTCACTGGACATACAAGTGGTGATGTGACATAGGTGTTAGCGTCTTACAGTACAGGATAGCGTCACTGGACAGGCAAGTAGTGATGTGACACAGATGTGAGAGTATTACCATGTAGGATAGCGTCACTGGACATGCAAGTGGTGATGTGACATAGGTATGAGAGTATTACCGTGTAGGATAGCGTCACTGGACATGCAAGTGGTGATGTGACATAGGTGTTAACGTCTTACCGTGTGGGATAGCGTCACTGGACATAAAAGTGGTGATGTGACACAGATGTGAGAGTATTACCGTGTAGGATAGCGTCCCTGGACATACAAGTGGTGATGTGACATAGGTGTTAGCGTCTTACCGTACAGGATAAGCGTCACTGGGCATACGGGTGGTGATCCTGACAATCAGTTTCACTGGTCGTGAGTTGGTCAGATAGTGAATATGATCCAGACCAAGCCAGAAGTCTCCAGACAGATTTCCAAAGCCCGTTTTGTAGTCTACCCATGGTCGGGAAAAGTCCAGGATCCCCCCGTGGCGCATAGTGAACATCCTGGCTCCTTGTCGGCTAATGTCGCAGTAGACGAGGAAGGGTCGTGGAGACCCGATGGGGTGGATCATGAACACCTTCGTCTCGTCCACGTAGTGCCCCAGTTCCATGCCTTCAGCACAGTCTGGAAAAAAACAACTATATTCAGCGAAACCCTGTTGTTCCGGACACCTCGCAATCCGTACAAGTCTGTGAGAAAGGTTTTCCTATACACCTACTAAAAAGTTAAGCACCGCTAGCTGAGTAAACTTTATATAGGTTTACCCCTTCACGCATCAAATCCGCTGTTCATTAGGTTGTTTGCCTTTCATTTATATGAGTTAGCATATGAAACTTTCAATAACAAAATACGTTTATTGGTTTGAAAAATGACAAGCTAATATTGAGAGATAGAAACAGAGATGGATGGTCTAACTGGTCCAAGCCAATAAACATTTAACTATACAGTAAACTACGGTTAACTCAAAGGCATAACCAATTATAGTTCGTTATAACCGTAGTTCGTTATAGTGAGTGAGTGAGTGAGTTTGGTTTAACGCCGCATTTAACAGTATTCAAGTTATATCACGGCGTGTCAGCTTCATGGGGAGGAAAGCCCGAAGTGATGCATGTCACAGGCGTTTACCACTTCGGTGAAACCCACAACAATGGGTATGGTGCTGACAAACCTAGAAACATAACTGGCACGAATAGGGATTCGAACCCACAAACATACGTTCATTGCCCAGCGAATCGCGGCGCCTTAGACGACTGGGCCACCCGTGCCCCCAAACCCCCCATAAATCTTCTTGAACGTCTTGAATTGCCCAGGGCCCACTCGCCCAAACCGAGCTTAGCGCAACGTTGATCATAAATATACTCAACAACAAAAGTTCCTGTGACACCAATATTTTAGTGTATTTTTCAAACAAGTAAAGTTTGGTTTTCAAATTTGTAGTACATGTATGGTATCAAGTCACAAAAAGGCAACTGCTACAGAAAAGCATGCATTCCATGCAAAAGTTGACTTTTATGCAAGCCCCATGCATTTCACTACCCAAGAATGGGTATAAAAACATGTGCGTTAACAGGATTCCATATGCATTGTTTAGCATCGTGCTGACAACAACCACTCAGAAAAACAACAAAATTACGCAATTATTCAACATTACGAAATGCCACGCCTGTCCGAAAATGAGCGTCTGTGAGCCATTGGTATGCTTTAAGCGGGATCGAGTCTACGCGATGTTGCAGGACAATTTAACGTCCACAGAAACACCATTTGGTGTTTATGGCAACGTTGGCAACAGCCGAATGCAGTCAGAGACCATCCTCGGAGTGGCAGGCCACGCGTAACCAATAATCGACAAGACAACTGGATTCGAATAACACACCTACAAAATCGATTCCAGCCAGCAACAGTGACTGCAAGAAGCATCCCTGGCCTTCGACGAATACTTCACAAACCGTACGTCGCCCCCCCCCCCCCCCCCCCCCCCCCCCCCCCAGATGTTCAGGGATTGTCGCCAGAAGACCCGCCAGACGTCCCATTTTGACAGGAAACCACCGTCAAGCACGTCTACGTAGTGGTGTCTACGCTTGACGGCCATGCAGTGGGGACAAGTTCAATTCACTGACGAGTCTCGTTTTCAACTCCGCCACAGTCTTGGGCGGATTCGAGTGTTTTTGTGTCGTCATGGCCCAGGCATTACATTTTACCATGACTTGTTCAGGATTCCCTTCAACAAGACAACGTGAATGTCATCCCCTGGCCGGCTCGTTCCCCTGATCTCTCGCCAATCGAGCACATGTGTGATGAGATGGATCGGCACCTTCAACGTCAGCCACGTGCTCCACAGACACTCCAGGAACTTCGAAACCTGCTCCAGCAGATATGGACAGATATCCCACAGGACTTTGTGCGACGCCTGGTCCATTTCATGAGACGAAGATGCTTCGCAACCAGAGGTGGACACACAGGCTATTGATTTGTAAATTGACATTTTGGAATGTTCATGTTTTTTTATGAAATCACGCATTTTCTGAAGTCAGTATGGCAAATTAAACCATTTGAACACTTACAGTAGTCTTTTATCTGTTGCAAACCGAAATTGTTTCAGATTTGGTAAAAAACATATCTTATTCAATGTCACAGGAACGTTTGTTGTTCAGTATATAAATTGCCAATGCAGCCAGTCAAGATTATCCACCGAAACAGATTAAAATGTGGCAAAAGGGGCAAAATAGCGGTGAACATTCTATGAAGGGACCACTGAAAATCAGTGATGACACCAGGTGTTCGCGAAAGTCCAACCGGTAGAACCCGCCATTCACACAATTTGCATAAAAAGGAAGTATTTATTGTCTGACGCCGAACAGGAGTGCTCCTCCCATGCGACGGCGGCCTGTAGACAAACCAGACAATCCATCGATCGATGAAAGTCAGTGACACAATAGTGCATGTACTGATGTTGTTGAAACTAATAAAAACGACATGTTACTTTTGAATTGCGTCTGCTGTGTAACAGTGCAGAGATTCTGCCGCTTATTTTTAAGGAAAAAGGTTTAAGAAAGATATTAGTTTTATGGTAAGTTATGTTTGAATTCAGTTGATACACAGTCTGTGTATATTGGCCTGTGGCCTTCATACCCACAAAGACTTAACACGATTTGATCCTACAACAAAATCTACAGCCACAAAGCAATACAAAGTACAACTTTGTTCTTTTGTGGATTTAATATGGAAATGTGCCTATCCAAACAAACGATTGCACGTTTTCGACTGGATTCACCAGATTTAACTGCAATGATATTCATAATCCAGTCACGTGGACGCTATGATCAAGCACAGTGACGGATTCTTGCAATGATAAAGATTACAAGTTAGATTTAGTCATGGGCAGGTTAGAGTGAGTGTCCAAACCATGCCTTTCATCAATAATGCACGTGATGGGATAAAATCTGGATCCTTAATCTTGGTATCCAAATATACCTTCAAATGTGTGGGTTGAAGGCTAATTTAAATACATATACTGTTTTACTTATATCATTGTCAAAATAGTTTGGTGAGGTGAGGTGAAATTGGGTTTAACGTCGCGTCCAAGATGATTGCACTTATATAGCGACGTGCATGCATGTGTGTGTGTGTATGTGGCTGCTTGTACTAGTCCGGAGTGATACCGATTTATAGTGCTAGCCCACTGAGATACCATGTCGCAGTTTAACATGAATACCCCACTCAGACACATTATACTGACTCCGAGCCGACCAGTCCTTGTTTTAGCCCCATACCGGGTAACAACAAGTACCATCTCTTAACGTCTTTTGGTATGACGCGGCCGGGGATCGAACCCCGTACCTTCCGCTCTCCGGGCGGACGCTCTACCACTAGACCACGGAGGCGGTCCAAAATAGTTTGGAGATGATAGGGTTTGAGTATTGATAGCTGACGATAGCCAGCACATAGTAGCCACTGAACTGCACCAGTGGTACCGATGTTTGTTTGTTTGTTTGTTTGTTTGTTTGTTGTTCAACGCCGCACTCACCAATATTCCAGCTTTATGACGGCGGTCTGTAAATAATCGAGTCTGGACCAGAAAATCTAGTGATTGACATCATGAGCTTCGATCTACGCAATTGGGATACGATCACATGCATCAACCAAGTCATGCATATGTATGTCACTGCACACGCGAATATCCAGAAGTTGTCAGTCATATATCTGGAAATATCTTGTATCCAGAACAGTGTTGGAAGCTGGCTGGGTTTTGTGTTTTCAGATAGGGATCCCATCCGCACTTGGCAAGTTTATTTGTTTGTTGTGTAACGCTGCACTCGGCAATATTCCAGCTATATGACTGCGGTCTGTAAATAATCGAGTCTGGACAAGACAATCCAGTGATTGACATCATGAGCATCGATCCACGCAATTGGGATATGATGACGTGCATCAACGAAGTCAGCGAGCCTGACCACCCGATCCCGTTAGTCGCGTCTTACAAGCACAGTCGCCCTTACGACGAGCATGGGTTGCTGAAGACCTATTCTCAGAAACATACAAACTGAAAATGCGCCTCAATTTTCATAACCGAGTGAGTAAACGACTGTAAACAAGAAAACAAGACTCAAAAACATTTGGAAAAGCTCAACACATTTTGTAGATTAAATAAGCCAGTTCTAAGATTATCGTCGGACTCGGCTAAACTCCTAAATTGACAAGTGTTGCGCGTAGCGGCAAATACCATAGTTGTATACTTTCTATATAACCGTAGCGATGTAACTGCGACTGTGAGGTAAAACAATGAAATGGTCATTCCTAGTCAATAAGACATTGTTGAGGAAAATGGCCGACACGGGTCAAGTAGAAAGATTCAAAAGCAGGGCAGGAGGAATTCGAGTAGGAAACGAACAAGTCAGTGCTTCTTTCATTGTCACGTAGATCAATACGAAGCAAATACATGACACGGTGGAGACGAGGTCTGTATGTGTGGAGACAAGGTCAAGCGGTGTCCGAGTGTACGGTGACACGGAGGAGACGAGGTCAAGCGGCGTCCGAGTATACGGTGACACGGAGGAGACGAGGTCAAGCGGCGTCCGAGTGTTTGGTGATACGGTGGAGACGAGGTCTTTATGGGTGGAGACAAGGTCAAGGGGTGTCCGAGTATACGGTGACACGGTGAAGACGATGTCAAGTGTGTACGGTGACACGGTGGAGACGAAGTCTGTGTGGGCGGTGACACGGTGGAGACGAGGCCAAGTGGCGTCCGAGTATACTGTGACACGGTGGAGACGAAGTCAAGTGGCGTCCGAGTATACTGTGACACGGTGGAGACGAAGTCAAGTGGCGTCCGAGTGTACGGTGACACGGTGGAGACGATGTCAAGTGGCGTCCGAGTGCACGGTAACACGGTGGAGACGATGTCTGTATGGGTGGAGACGAGGTCAACAGGCGCTCGAGTGTACGGTGACACGGTGGAGACGATGTCAAGCGGCGTCCGAGTGTTTTGTGATACGGTGGAGGCGAGATCTGTATGTGTGGAGACAACGTCAAGCGGCGTCCGAGTGTTTGGGGATACGGTGGAGACGAAGTCTATATAGGCGGAGACGCGGTCAGTGGCGTCCGAGTATACGCTGACACGGTGGAGACGAAGTCTGTATGGGCGGTGACGAGGTCAAGTGGCGTCCGAGTATACGGTGGCACGGTGGAGACGACGTCTGTATGGGCGGTGACGAGGTCAAGTGGCGTCCGTGTGTACGGTGACACGGTGGAGACGAAGTCTGTATGGGCGGTGACGAGGTCAAGTGGCGTCCGTGTGTACGGTGACACGGTGGAGACGAGGCCAAGTGGCGTCCGAGTATACTGTGACACGGTGGAGACGAAGTCAAGTGGCGTCCGAGTATACTGTGACACGGTGGAGACGAAGTCAAGTGGCGTCCGAGTATACTGTGACACGGTGGAGACGAAGTCAAGTGGCGTCCGTGTGTACGGTGACACGGTGGAGACGAGGTTAGGTGGCGTCCGAGTATACGGTGGCACGGTGGAGACGACGTCTGTATGGGTGGAGACGAGGTCAAGTGGCGTCCGAGTATACGGTGGCACGGTGGAGACGACGTCTGTATGGGCGGTGACGAGGTCAAGTGGCGTCCGTGTGTACGGTGACATGGTGGAGACGAGGTCAAGTGACGTCCGAGTCGAGGAGAAGGAGGTCGGTGTTACTGAACCATATAGGCATACATAGTCGGAAGAGGCAAAGTAACATATAACATAAATTTACATAATACTCGTAGAAAAATCTGAACAGCCTTGAATATGGAGAATACATAACTAAGAAATGTGTGTTCAATGAAAAAAGTCATTTATTGAAAGCTCAAGTGAATCTTCCTACTGACCCGTGTCGACCATTCTACTCGACATGGTCCTTCCTTTGTACACGAATCACGATTCCATTGTATGACCCCACAATCGCAGTCAAATCGCTTTGTTTCCACGGTCCATGGAAAGTATACTACCCACCATAGTTGCTACATTACCCATTTCGTTCACTCGTCTTACCTGTCATAAGCCGTTCACAGCGAGAGCCGACATAGCCACCAGAGCAGGAACAGTTGCCGAATTCCTCATTGTACACACCTCCGTTTTCACATGGCGACATAATCTTAAAAAACACATAAAAAACATTTTAAACTGTACATAAAAACCATAATTATATAAACTTTCGAATGAACTTTCAATTTCAACAACAAAAAGGTTTCCTCCGGAGAACAGAGTACCGTGCCAGATCAAGGGGTACCGGCCTCCGTCAAGAGCGAGAAGGGTTTGAAATAATCTGTTCCCTAAAACAACTGGAAATTTGTCCTTAGATATTTTAAAAAGAAATGTTCTGAAAAATAATGTATTGTGAGTAAACTAAAATTGTCTAGTTCCTGCTTCAGAGACAAAGAAATGTATGTTTTGAATTCTTTTTTGAAAAATATTGAAGCTCAAACCAAACTCCAACCGGTCCATCTCCACCACCGACAACACTTTTGTTTCTCTGATCGCTGTAAGTTTGAATTAAGGGCACCCAGTGTTCGCGAAACGGGCAACTGCCTATCATGGATGAGGGTATATTATCCTTCATTAAATCCATTTGATAGCTGTATATTATTTTGGAAAAAGAATTGTCACAATACTTACATCATTATAATCAGGCTCCGTAGAGGTATAATTATCACAGGTCTGAGATAACAGTGTTCTGCTGTGAAGAGTGCACATGAACTGCGCATCATCGGATGTAGGAAGCAACCGGAAGGCTTTGCATTGCACATGCGCAGAACAGACAGCGGCGCACTCTACTTTGGATTCAGTTTTGAATTCCTCGATTGCTGAATTTGGGAAATCCTCTGTGGTGATGCAGTGAAAGATTTCTCGGTACGTTGTGGTCCCATCACAGAACCCAACCCGTATCGCCACAACTAGGAACAAGAGCAACATGGCAGAAAAAGTTTATGTGCCACCAGAACGATTAGCAACCCATGGAACAACTGCAGCAGAATCAATCAGTGACGCAAGCAGTAGCACTTGTGGTGTTTCAGAAGAAGCGGATCAGTGTCAAGACCAGCAAAGATTTGACTGCAAAACTTCTTTTCATAAGACATGACATTATCAGACTTGAATAGTAGCCTAGCTTCAAAACGCCTAAGTACTTGGTTGACAGACTATTCATAAAATGTGTGCATTGACGATCAGACATTTCATCAAGAGCTATGATCGATTGAAAAGGTTCGCAATAATAATATTTATGCCATATTGATTTTCAGGTATTATTAGTTCCAATCGACGCATTTCCTTCACTACAGAATTGACTGGTTCCACCTGAAGACGCGCTAGTTCAAAACAACTCACAGTAAATACAAATCACAGTACCGGGCCAACAGGAACGAATTCACGGGAACGAATCAAGGATGCATTATCAGGGAGAATCCGTTTGATTTGTGTGGAGGGAGGGGAATATTTTTTAGAACAATCTATTTTTTGCCCCAGCTGTATCCAACAAGCGATTAATGACCACCATCAAACAATTTATTCATTTTCACTATTAACACAAAATAAATTACGCTTGGGTATTTTCCAAAAAGCAAACTATTCATTTGTTTCACCACTGCCAACAAACTATTTACTTTGGGCATATTGCTGAACAATCTATTAATTTATGAAATCCCATGGCCAAAACTAGGGGTACTGGGAACCTACAATGTATTCTACCTGGAATTAAGCCATGGACAAAACTATGGGTACTGGGGACCTACAGTGTATTCTTACCCGGAATTACCTCCTTGACAAAACAAGTAGTACTGGGAACCTACGATGTATTCTAAACCAGAATCACCTCTTGGAAAAAACTAGGGGTGCTGGGAACCTATAATGTATTCTTACTCGGAATTACCCCATGGACACAACTGGGGGTACTGGGAAACTACAATGTATTCTTACCTGGAATTAAGCCATGGACACAACTGGGGGTACTGGGGACCTACAGTGTATTCTTACCTGGAATTAAGCCATGGACAAAACTATGGGTACTGGGGACCTACAGTGTATTCTTATTCGGAATTACCTCCTTGACAAAACAAGTAGTACTGGGAACCTACGATGTATTCTAAACCAGAATCACCTCTTGGACAAAACTAGGGGTGCTGGGAACCTACAATGTATTCTTACTCGGAATTACCTTATGGACACAACTGGGGGTACTGGAAACCTACAATGTATTCTTACTCGGAATTACCTCCAGGACAAAACTAGGGGTACCGGGTACCTACAATGTATCCTTACTCGGAATTACCTCCAGGACGAAACTAGGGGTACTGAAAACCTACAATGTATTCTAACCCGGAATCTCCCCGTAGACATAACTAGGGTTTCCTTGGAACCTACAATGTATTCTTACTCGGAATCACCCAATGAGCCAAAACTAGGGGTACCAGGAACCTACAATGTATTCTTACTCGGAATCACCCAATGGGCCAAAACTAGGAGCACTGGGAACCTACAATGTATTCATACTCGGAATTATCTCCAGGACAAACCTAGGGGTACCGAGAACCTATAATGTTATCCTACTCGGAATCACCTCCAGGACAAAACTAGGGGTACCGATAACCCACAATGTTATCCTATTTGGAATTACCTCTTGGACAAAACTAGGGGTACTGGGAACCTGCAATGTATTCTTACTCGGAATTACCACCAGGACAAAACTAGGGGTACTGAAAACCTACAATGTATTCTAACCCGGAATCTCCCCGTAGACATAACTAGGGTTTGCTAGGAACCTACAATGTATTCTTATTCGGAATTACCTCCAGGACAAAACTAGGGGTACCGGGAACCTACAATGTATTCTTACTCGGAATTACCTCCAGGACAAAACTAGGGGTACTGAAAACCTACAATGTATTCTAACCCGGAATCTCCCCGTAGACATTACTAGGGTTTCCTTGGAACCTACAATGTATTCTTACTTGGAATTATCTCCAGGACAAACCTAGGGGTACCGAGAACCTATAATGTTATCCTACTCGGAATCACCTCCAGGACAAAACTAGGGGTACCGGGAACCTACGATGTATTCTTACTCGGAATCACCACCAGGACAAAACTAGGGGTACCAAGAACCCACAATGTTATCCTATTTGGAATCACCTCCAGGACAAAACTAGGGGTACCGGGAACCTACAATGTATTCTTACTCAGAATCACCACCAGGACAAAACTAGGGGTACTGAAAACCTACAATGTATTCTAACCCGGAATCTCCCCGTAGACATAACTAGGGTTTGCTAGGAACCTACAATGTATTCTTACTCGGAATTACCTCCAGGACAAAACTAGGGGTACCGGGAACCTACAATGTATTCTTACTTGGAATTATCTCCAGGACAAACCTAGGGGTACCGAGAACCTATAATGTTATCCTACTCGGAATCACCTCCAGGACAAAACTAGGGGTACCGGGAACCTACGATGTATTCTTACTCGGAATTACCTCCAGGACAAAACTAGGGGTACCGGGAACCTACAATGTATTCTTACTCGGAATTACCTCCAGGACAAAACTAGAGGTACCGGGAACCTACAATGTATTCTTACTCGGAATTACCTCCAGGACAATCCTAGGGGTACCGGGAACCTACAATGTATTCTTAATCGGAATCACCCAATGGGCCAAAACTAGGTTCGACCTGAAGACGCGCTAGTTCAATACAACTCACAGTAAATACAAATCACAGTACCGGGCCAACAGGTCATTTCACGGGAACGAATCAAGGATGCATTATCAGGGAGAATCCGTTTGATTTGTGTGGAGGGAGGGGAATATTTTTTAGAACAATCTATTTTTTGCCCCAGCTGTATCCAACAAGCGATTAATGACCACCATCAAACAATTTATTCATTTTCACTATTAACACAAAACAAATTACGCTTGGGTATTTTCCAAAAAGCAAACTATTCATTTGTTTCACCACTGCCAACAAACTATTCACTTTGGGCATATTGCTGAACAATCTATTAATTTATGAAATCCCATGGCCAAAACTAGGGGTGCTGGAAACCTATAACGTATTCTTACTCGGAATTAAGCCATGGACAAAACTAGGGGTACTGGGAACCTACAATGTATTCTTACCTGGAATTAAGCCATGGACACAACTGGGGGTACTGGGGACCTACAGTGTATTCTTACCCTGAATTACCTAATTGACAAAACTAGTAGTACTGGGAACCTACGATGTATTCTAAACCAGAATCATCTCTTGGAAAAAACTAGGGGTGCTGGGAACCTACGATGTATTCTTACTCGGAATTACCTCCAGGACAAAACTGGGGGTACTTGGAACGTACAATACTTCTCACTCGGAATTACCCCATGGACACAACTGGGGGTACTGAGAACCTACAATGTATTTTTACTCGGAATTACCTCCAGGACAAAACTAGGGGTACCGGGAACCTACAATGTATTCTTACTCGGAATTACCTCCAAGACAAAACTAGGGGTACTGACAACCTACAATGTATTCTCACCCGGAATCTCCCCATAAACATATTTAGGGTTTCCTGGGAACCTACAATGTATTCTTACTCGGAATCACCCAATGGGCCAAAACTAGGAGTACTGGGAACCTACAATGTATTCTTACTCGGGACTGCCTCCAGGACAAAACTAGGGGTACCGATAACGTACAATGTATTCTTACTCGGTGTTACCTCCAGGACAAAACTAGGGGTACTGGAAACCTTCAACGTATTCTAACCCGGAATCACCCAATGGGCCAAAACTAGGAGTACTGGGAACCTACAATGTTTTCTTACTCGGAACTGCCTCCAGGACAAAACTAGAGGTACCGGGAACCTACAACGTATTCTTACTCGGATTCACCTCAAGGATAAAACTAGGGGTACTGGGAGCCTACAATGTTTCTTACTCGGAATCACCTCCAGGACAAAACTAGGGGTACTGGAAACCTTCAACGTATTCTAACCCGGAATCTTCCCGTAGACATAACTAGGATTTGCTGGGAACCTACAATGTATTCTTACCCGGAATCACCCTATGGACAAGACTGGGTGTACTGGGGACCGTATTCTGATGCGGAATCACCTCATGGACAAAACGAGGCTGAACAACACTTTTGTTTTAATCGACCCAATCTTTTTTTCCCTATCATTTATCTTGTTATGGAACAAGACCTTTTTCGCCAGCGGAATTCGAACCCGCGGAGTCCCCACAGGTTAACGAATGTAGTCTTCTGCCACGGTAACATGGGAAACATCGTGTCAAGTTAACAACTAAATATATATACTTGCCACATAAAGAAACTGTGCACAGAGAAAATATATTCTGGATTGAAATACAACACAGCAAGAAAATGTCAACGTGACCTGAACAACATCTTTTACGATGACGTCAGAAGATCAAAATGGAGTAGGGGGTCAAACGACAAAGTCACAAAGCCAATAACGGGTATGACCACCCTGTGCGTGAATCACAGCAGTGCATCGGCGACGCATGGAGTCCACCAAATGGGCATGGAAGGCCTGGGGAATGGCCTGCCATATCCTCCTCAAATCCTGTGCCAAGTCACGGACGTTATCTTGAGGATGTGGAAGACGACGCAGACGGCGCTCCATTTCATCCCACCCATGCTCTATTAGGGAGAGATCTGGAGAAATTGCAGGCCATGGCAGTAACATGACATTGTTATGGTGAAGGAAATCCATTGCGACCCTAGCCGTGTGAGGACGAGCGTTGTCCTGTTGAAATGTCAATCCCGGGCCATGACGTTGCAGGAAAGAAATGACCACAGGCCTCAGAATCTGATCTCTGTAGCCAACACCGGTGAGATTGCCCTGAACAACCACCAAAGGGGTTCGGTGCCGTGCTGTTATCCCACCCCAAATCATCACAGAGCCACTTCCAAAACGATTCCTCTCCACAATACAGTTGCGTGCATAACGTTCTCCCAAACGCCGGTAGACACGTTGGCGCCCGTCACTGTGGGAAATGTTGAACCTCGATTCATCTGTAAAGACAACATTTCTCCACCATATTCGAGGTTGGCGAACATGATTTCGACACCATCTTAGACGGTTGACTCGATGACGGTGTGTCAGGATGGGACGTAT